CAAAATAAATTATCCCTGTGTTGACCGTTTGATACTTTTTTGGTCATATCAATTTTGGGTTTCTCTATGGACAATAAAAGCACTGTATAATATATCATTGTCTCTGACTTGGTACAGACATTTTCAAAGACAAATAATGCATCGATCTTTATATATATATATATATATGTATATATAAGTACGTCTGAACCAGTGACAACTCTACGACGAATTATATACATATATTGGCAAACCATTGCACAACAATCTTAAAGTCATCGTCCCATAATTTATCCGAAGTCCTTGTCTAATTCCACGTAAAACATGAAAGAGAAAAGACATCATAGTATGAGAAACAGCCTGAGGTACGACATATGTTCTTAATACACCATTTGAATATTTTTGATCTGAAAAACGGCAAGTGAAAAAAATCAAAGAAACTGAAAATGAAAAACAAAAACAAAAAAATTAGAAATAAAGATACAACAATCACAGTAATCTGAAAAAAAATTGAAATAATGAGCAATGAGGAATAGCTCTACAACTTTCAATCCAAAATCCATTGTACTCGCAGTACATGTCTTTATGAACGATATGTCTCTCCCTTCTGCAGCACTTGAGTACATTCTTCCATATTTGGTTCTGTAATTTTCTCATGTGAACGACATATACCTCACGTTTTCTTCCCTGCTTGGACAGATGAATATTGGTATTTAGGGCCCCGCCGAATAGCGGGTCGCCCTATATAGTGATCAACCTGTCCGTCCGTAACAAATCGTGTCCGCTCTATATCTGGAGAACCGCTATGATTTCATACTTTATACTTGACATGTATATTAACCTACACCAGAGGGTGTGTCATAATGTTTGTACAACTTCCTAGGTCAAAGGTCAAGGTTAAAAACTTTGGTTTCAGTTGACAACCCCATGTCCTATGGTAAAGATCGTGTCCGCTCTATATCTAGAGAACTGTTATGATTTCAAACTTTATACTTGACATGTATATTAACCAACATCAGATGGTGTGTGATAATGTATGTACAACTTCCTTGGTCAAAGGTCAAGGTTAAAAACTTTGGTTTCAGATGACAACCCCATGTCCTTTGGTAAAGATACAATTTTTTTACCACACGTTATTCACAGTGGGGCCCACAGAGATGGCTCCCATCTCAACGATGTCTAGTTAATCATACTATGCACCTATCGTTAACCTGTTGTGTTTTAGACATTTTATTTAAGGCACCGAACTTGGTATGCATATTCTGCATACATTGGTATCCTGTCGCCAGCCGGTTAAAATCCGATGCCATTTTTTGGTCAGAGATCGGGTATTATGTAGAAAATTAAATATATGTGTGACGAAATGCAACGAACACCAATAACGTATCATCATAAGTGACCATAATTTCCAGCACTACCTTTTTTTATTATGACCCGCCGTCTTTAGGCGGGTGCCCTATATTTATCACTCTGTCTATCAATCCGTCCGTCTATACTTTCTATGCCGTAGGACTAAATTCAAGTTTGCTTTGGTAAATTGTAAAAGAATTTTAACACAACATTTTATAGTACCATTAGGGGATGCTCTCTTTCATTGTATTTTAATTTTCATTTTGAATATATTGGACTTAGGCCAGCCGGGCCCTTCATTGAGGAGTGCCACGGGTCAGTGTTCATAATACTGTCTTTTTTCATAATTCCCTGAAATTTCAAATATAAAAATCTAACACAAAGGCGTTTTATGCTATAGGACTACCTGATTTTTAAGTGATTGGGAATTGTAACGAATGCCAAGCGATTTGAAATTGATAATTATCACAAATATATCACGTATATATTTGCGTGCATGCATCTTGAAAAACAATATCACAATGGAATTTGTCAGTACAAAAAAGTTTCTGCTTCTTATATCATTTTATAATTGGCGTGATATGAGATATTTAATGAACTTTTTTAATCTCATTTTTCTCACCTTTCCACGTGTATTACCGGTTCATGTGCGAAAACCATTTCCAGACATGCTCTAAGATGCACTGAAATGGTATTAATGAAAGGTAATACTATATATATATATACATAGTAGGCCCTAACTACGTTTTGAATAGCAAGAACAGATTGAAAATAAGTGTCCGCAATTTGACGATAAAGTGTCCGTATTTTAACTCCCTCTGTCCGCATTTACACGACTGGACATTTCCGCGGGTTTTAAGTGTTTCCAATCTACCAATCAAGAGAGGAGACCTGAAAACGCGGGAAATAGTTCATTTGATACCCCTCTATCTTCTCCTGTCTAGTGCAACCACCAGTGTGTCCGCAATTGGCCCCTACGGTATCCAAACTTCCGGATTTGAAAAAGTGTCCGCAATTAGGCGAATTTCCCCTAATTGATTTATTTACTTCTTTAAAAAATAAACTGTTACAATATTGAAAGTCATTGTTAGCCTAAATAAAAAGTATTATACATATATTCACAATTAAAAGATGTGTACTTGATGATTGTTTTACTCATGTTATACTATTTTAAAACCTGAATTAAAAGCCTTTTGTTGATATTGTGATTATTGTCACATTTTAATTGACAGGTAGAGGACCAATTAAAGTATGTTTTTATTTCAATTACCTATTCTGTACCTAGGGCAATATGATAAAAGATAAAAGAAAATTTATCTAACTAGCACAAGCAAAATTGTGACAAATATGTTTTTTTTTAAATAAACAAATGTTGGTATATATAAGTACACGTAAAATGTAATGATTATTAAACAATACTATTACAATTTTTAGACGTTTTTTTGACTGATAACTGAAATACATATAAAATCTGTAAGATGTCAGAAAGACAATAGCCAAGCCTCTTTAATTTAGAAACCTTTATTCAATAGAAGTCAAAATATTTCATAGATTAATAATTATAGAATGGTAAAGTGTAAAGGGCCATAACCAGTGACAAAATGTTCATGTTTATATGTTGTGAATCTTTGTGGTATATTAAATCAATGAATTTGGAAGTTTTCATTTTGAATTTGGAGGTTATCATTTCATAACATATCAAAAAGTGAAATAACAAAATACTGTAGTCAACACATCAAATGAATGGGTAACAACTGTCATATTCCTGACTTAGTTAACAGGCAATTATTTCCTAATGAAGAAAATTTTATCAAATAAAATCCTTTCTCAAAACATGCTACAGTTGTAATCTTTATTTATTAACATCATTCAAATGGGTTATTTTGAAATTCATTGTAATCAGATGTAATCATGATTACTTGCCAATGTAATCATTAATTTAATCAGCTACTTTGAGAAATGATGTAATCATTAATTTAATTTAATCGTACAATTGACAAAGTAATTGTAATTTAATCAATTACATTGAAAGTAATCGGACCCACCTCTGCTGGTTGCTGAAAAGGTCGTTGAAGTCACAAGGGAACCATCGAGGTCCCCAATGACATAGATTCTTTATCATAGATGATCATAAATAAATATTTAAAGAAAGAAATCGAAAAGAAAGTCGTATGAAGGACCTTTTCATGTCAATTTTTTATTTCGCCGTTGAATAGTGTTCCACCAAAACTATTCTCATGAACAAGTGATCATTTTAGATTTAAGTTTAAAAGGAATGGGTGCTATCATTGGTTATGTTGACAAAGACAGTTACTTAGGGAATGGGGTTTAATTTAAATGATATCCAGACAATAATGCATATGCAAAGTTAATTTAAAAGCAAGGCCGCAACTGTTTTCTTTTCAAACGGGACTTGTCATTGATTTATTATAAACATTTAAATAAAGTTCCTTATTTGGTAACATTTGGAAATTTCAGTTATTTATACGGGTTTACGATCAGCAGCTCACATATGTAAGCGTGTGGCAGGCACTTGCCTCTGAAACAAAATACCTAAATATTACACGTTGTATTAAAGTATATAAGTATTTTGTCAAGTGCCTGTGCAGCGTGATACAAATGCTGTCGCTTCCAAGCTTCCACTGATGTTTCGAGAATTAGGATTTGATATAATCAACTATATAGGTGATTTTGCAGGGGTACGCGTCGCCAGTAAAACTGCATTTGCGACCATCAAATCGTCAATTGACGACGGCAACTACAGTACTGCTTTGTAAGATTTTTTAAATCCGTCAGTGTGGTTTCAAATCTCAGCGTGTTAATTTTAAAAAATCGTCATTTTTGCTTACTGAAGTTTCTATCTATCAAATATAATTTTTAAGATATAAGGCAAAACCGCAAAAAAATTGGTAAAAATCATCATAGCTCATTAGATTTTTCCCTTCGAACACCCCTTTACATTTAACCTGACCTCAAATTTACCTATCAAATATCTTGTTCGTTTCTATGTTTTATCTAGGTATCATAACCGAAACATAAAATAAGGTTGCTTTCAAACCGTTACTATCGTTAACTCTCAAAACATTAAATCAGTAAACACCACACACTCATTTGTATCAAAGTATTCAATTTTGGAAATTTGCTCATATGGTATCTATTTAATAAATAATTTGCTATTTCAATAAAAAAATATATATATGAATAAAATTTCACAACTTCTGTTTTCAAGAAAAAAAATTGTGTCACAGCCAATGTAAAAAAAAACGAATCTTTAAAAGGTAAATTTTCCGTAAATTGAAATTTTGACAATTAGAAGGGGTATCCAATGCTCAAGTAAACAAAACCAAATTGAAATAAAAGTGAATTATATTGATGTTTTTACTTCTTCTCACAGTACGATTTATTTTTCCGTACCGTACGTACGTATCCAGCAACTTTCACCTCAAAACCCTTTGGATATTTTAATAACTTTAAATTACTAAACAAAGAAAGGACAAAATAAAATTGATATTCAACGTCTCTTCAACGGAAAACGCAATGATTAGTTTGAAACAAATTATTTTTACATCCGAAAACATAGTTACATAATTAACATTACCATCGTTGTTACGCATTTTGGATATGACTTGAGTAATTAAATTTCTATAGTAACATACTACGTACATTTACAGGAGATTCGTTGGCTGTTCAGAATGGACAGAAATTCTCGGCAAAAGATAAGGATAACGATAAATGGGGCAAGTCATGTGCAGTGGTGTACAAGGGTGCCTGGTGGTATAATACATGTCACTTTAGCAACCTGAATGGTCTCTATCTGAAAGGGAAACACAAATCATATGCTAATGGCGTCAACTGGTACCACTGGAAGGGATATCACTACTCACTGAAAGAAACAGTCATGATGATCCGCAAAGCCTAGATAGATAAATATAAATATTGACCAATAAATAATGCATATTTTCATTTTCATTGTTTCTTATTTGTATATTCAAATTATTATGAAGAGTGTACCAGTCTATCATTTGATTTCGGTTTTATAGTTTGTGTTGAAATGTTATTAGTGTCATGGTTGGTTCCTTATTGCCTAAGTTTGATCTGATCACAAATTCAAACAGATTCCTTACAGTTCGAGTCGGTTTGATCTGATCACAGATTCAAACAGATTCTTTACAGTTCGAGTCGTCTTCATTATAATATTTTATTTTAAACAGTTTTTTTAATTGATATCAAACCCCATGGGTAAGATGATTTCCTGGTCCGTTTTCTAGAGGATGCATGTGATATCGCAATAAAAGATAATATATAAATGCAGTTATGGATTAAAAAATTGTATTTTCAGTATATCTTATAGTTAATACTTTTTACCATACATCAATATGGTAATAGTTGTAGACTGCTAGTATATTACCTTTGCTGTTAGTTGAACCGTTGAACCATATAACCATGTTGTCGTGAGAGGATCAAAGCGAGATACAATTAAACTATATCAAAATACATGTAGTTTAGACCAAAGATGTGTATTAGGCACATTTGTTTGGCCATTTATGAACTCATTCCTAATGAATCGCATCTCTTTACTAGGTGAAAATAATATAATTTCAAGGCTTTCAATTACTTTTACCTAACAGCTAAAATTGAAGCAGATTGATACATGTTTGATAATCTGATCATCTAAAACAACAGTTATTAACAGTTTTTTTTTAATTGATCAAATCAAATGTGTTAGATGAGTTCCTGGTCCGTATTCTAAAGGATGCCTATGATATCACAATTAACACAAATAGTCATATAGCTCTTCAACTGTTTAGGTTCTAAAAGATACTTGGCTCTCAAATATTCGGCTTTGAGCGTTCCTGATGAAGGAAAATCCAGAAAAGCGCTTCTGAAGCATGAAATTTATAACGTGTTGTTTTCATTTTTTACAGCACTGGGTCGATACCTCTGCTGGTGGACTATCAGTCCCCGAGGGTGGCATCAGCTCAGTAGTCAGTACTTCGGTATTGACATGATTTATAACAAAACATTTCTAAAATTTTCCGTTTATAAAAATTTTTAAATTAAAAAGAATCTAAGGTTTCAACTCCCTCAGGCAAAATTGACCCTAAGACGGATTTGGCTATTTTTAGGTACTTTTTGGGGCATATAGCTCTTCAACTGTTTAGGTTCTTACACATCCTTAATTAACTCTTAAATATTCGGCTTTAAGCGTTCCTGATGAAGGTAAATCCAGAAAAGCGCTTTTTGACGCATGAATTTATAACGTGTTGTTTTCATTTTTTATATGGATTAAAAATGTCCATAGAAATTAATTGTTTGCTACTTTACATGAAAGTTGAATAGTAACCTTCGGTTTTAAAGTTAGTTCCATTAATAGAAGATAGTTCATTTCAGACTGTTTCCAAAAATACAAATATTTAGGTTCTTTTTTCTTGAAATAATGAACATAATATGCAAATTTACGGTCTAAAAAGTCACGTTTGCTTTCAGTTGATATGAATTTCAACAATGATTCCAAGAAGAAGATATCTATGAACTTTTGTTTGAAATAATGAAGGGAAATAATTTCAGAGTGTCAAAATGCCACTTACCTTTTTGATATGATAGGCAACGTCATTCTGCTTTAAAAAGATATATGTTTCTAGCTTTTTTTACATACAGTAATTAAAATATCTTACGTTCGGTATACATAAGGTCACTCCCAGTTGACCTTATTCAATGTCTTAAATAAAATAAGGAGATTTGGTATGATTGCCAATGAGACAAATATCTAGCATAAACCAAATTACCATATGTCTTCCAACCCAATGCAAAATACCCTATGGCTTTATAGTATACCAGAATGAAGTTATAAAAAAGGTCAATTTGTAAAACGTCAAATCGACCTTGACCTAGAATGAAGGTCAGAGGTAATGAATCTCAAATCGAAAGACCATAGGTCTCTTTTAAGCAAGGTTTATGAGTTATAATGCAAAACTGCCCATTTCAAATATTTAAGGGAACAACATTCCTTCTAAAACAGTCACCAGAAAACGCCAACCCAAATGTATTGACGTTGCATCCAGACGTAAAACGAAATTAGAATTTTATTACATGACCTTGACCTTTGACCTAAACCTCAGTTAACTACTTATATATCAAGAAACTCATATCAAAAGACTCTCGGTCTCTTTGTATTACACCGACATACGGTTTTTGTCAAACAAATAAAGGAAAGTAATAGAATAGTGAATGGAAACGGGGAATGTGTCAAAGAGACAACAACCCGACAAAAGAGTACAAATCAGCCCAAGGCCACACATGAGTCTTCAAAAAGCGAGACAATCCCGCGCACGGAGGCGGGCTTCATCTGGTCCCCAAACAATAATGTATACTTGTTCAGCGAAATGGACGTCACACTAAACTCCGAAACATATTAAAAAAGCAAAATAAAAAAAGCACACAAGACTAACAAAGGCTAGAGGTTCCTGACTTGGGACAGGCGCAAAAATGCAGTGGGGTTAATCATGTTTTGTGAGATCTCATCCCTCCCCCTATACCTCTAGCCAATGTGGAATAAAGAAATACACAGAAATACGCATAGTTAAACTCAAATTAAAAAGAAGTCCGAGTCCGATGTTGGTATAAGTAACAGAAGAAACTAAGTAAAATGACAATGATGAACATAAATTAACAAAGGACAACTATCAGTTACCGACATGCCAGCTCCAGACCTCAATTAAACTGATCGAAAGATTATGTCTTCATCATATGAAAATCAAGCACAATCCCTCCCGTTAGGGGTTTAGTACCATGCCATCAAAAATCATTCGCGAGGAATATATCATGCCAACAACTGGTTTTGGAATAAATGTGTTTTATTTCCGTTGCAAAGACCCAATGTGTGAATCAATATCAATTCCAAAAATGCCATTTTTAATGACTTGACAACAGTATCGTAAATATATCACTTGTGAATAAGTCTGTTTAAAGGTTTGGTTAGCTTTTTTTCACATTAAAATAATGATTTATTCAAATTCAAATCCGACTATATTGACAGACACAAATGTCGATATTTGGAATTTGGCTTTCCTATTAAAAAAGTACGTATCTGGTTGCCAGACTTGGGGTAATTGTAATCATTAATCAGCTGTAATTGATTACAATTTTTCAAGTAATCATTGTAATCATTAATCAGCAAAAAATCTGATTACATGTAATTTAATTTAATTAATTACATTTCAAAATACCTTGTAATCCTGATTACTTTTTGATTACATTCTGATTACAATGAAAAAATTCTCAAATTGTGTGATTATTTCTTAGTTGTACAGCTGTAATATTTGAACATACAAAGACAACTTCAAACTTGTTTGACACATTGCAAGATAAGGATGATGATAATGTAATATGTTTGATTTATTAGATGTATTGGGGGTTAATGAGAACAAATTAAAACCCTGAGCTTAATTTTTATTGAATAAATTAATAGAAATATGATTAATATTTATAGCAAATTTATAGGATTCAAAAATCTACATTTTTTATATAATTCAGATTTGAAGTGAATTGGTGAAAGGCTTAACATTCTGGGTTTTTTATCAAAAAGAAAGGAAAATGTTGACTTCTGTTTTATTTTGATAAGTTTTTTTAAGGAATAACTGTTTCATTGATCATAGGTTTTTATTGTAAATAATTCATGCTAGTATTAGTTTAGGCTTAATTGATTTATTTTCTTCTTTAAAAAATAAACTGTTACAATATTGAAAGTCATTGTTAGCCTAAATAAAAAGTATTATACATATATTCACAATTAAAAGATGTGTACTTGATGATTGTTTTACTCATGTTATACTATTTTAAAACCTGAATTAAAAGCCTTTTGTTGATATTGTGATTATTGTCACATTTTAATTGACAGGTAGAGGACCAATTAAAGTATGTTTTTATTTCAATTACCTATTCTGTACCTAGGGCAATATGATAAAAGATAAAAGAAAATTTATCTAACTAGCACAAGCAAAATTGTGACAAATATGTTTTTTTTTAAATAAACAAATGTTGGTATATATAAGTACACGTAAAATGTAATGATTATTAAACAATACTATTACAATTTTTAGATGTTTTTTTGACTGATAACTGAAATACATATAAAATCTGTAAGATGTCAGAAAGACAATAGCCAAGCCTCTTTAATTTAGAAACCTTTATTCAATAGAAGTCAAAATATTTCATAGATTAATAATTATAGAATGGTAAAGTGTAAAGGGCCATAACCAGTGACAAAATGTTCATGTTTATATGTTGTGAATCTTTGTGGTATATTAAATCAATGAATTTGGAAGTTTTCATTTTGAATTTGGAGGTTATCATTTCATAACATATCAAAAAGTGAAATAACAAAATACTGTACTCAACACATCAAATGAATGGGTAACAACTGTCATATTCCTGACTTAGTTAACAGGCAATTATTTCCTAATGAAGAAAATTTTATCAAATAAAATCCTTTCTCAAAACATGCTACAGTTGTAATCTTTATTTATTAACATCATTCAAATGGGTTATTTTGAAATTCATTGTAATCAGATGTAATCATGATTACTTGCCAATGTAATCATTAATTTAATCAGCTACTTTGAGAAATGATGTAATCATTAATTTAATTTAATCGTACAATTGACAAAGTAATTGTAATTTAATCAATTACATTGAAAGTAATCGGACCCACCTCTGCTGGTTGCTGAAAAGGTCGTTGAAGTCACAAGGGAACCATCGAGGTCCCCAATGACATAGATTCTTTATCATAGATGATCATAAATAAATATTTAAAGAAAGAAATCGAAAAGAAAGTCGTATGAAGGACCTTTTCATGTCAATTTTTTATTTCGCCGTTGAAAAGTGTTCCACCAAAACTATTCTCATGAACAGGTGATCATTTTAGATTTAAGTTTAAAAGGAATGGGTGCTATCATTGGTTATGT